GAAGACCTAATGGTAGATATACTAGACAAAGACTTTAAAATAGCTATCTTAAAGATGCTGGAAGACCTAGAGGAAGATGTGAGGAAAGTCAAGAAAATGGTGTGGGGGCCGGCCCAGTGGAGCAAGTGGTTAAGTGCACGTGCTCTGCTGCAGCATCCCAGGGTTCGCCGGTTCAGATCCTGGGCAGACACTGACGCACCGCTTGGCAAGCCATGCTGTGGTGGTGTCCCATATAAAATGGAGGAAGATGGGCACGGATATTAGCCCAGGGCCAGTCTTCCTCAGCAAAAAAAGAGGAGGATTGGCAGATGTTAGCACAGGGCTGATCTTCCTCACATACACACATGCAAAAAAAGAAAATGATGTGTGAACAAAATGGAAATATAAATAAAGAGATAGAAAACCTAAAAACAAACCAAACAGAAATTCTGGGGCTGAAAAGTACAATAAGTAAAATGAAAAATTCACTAAAGGGATTCAAAGACAGATTTGAGCAGGCAGAAGAAAGAATCGGCGAATGTGAAATTATCGAGGCTGAGGAACAGAAAGAAAAAAGATTGAAGTGAACAGAGCCCAAGGGATGTGTGGGACACCATCAAGTGGAGTAACATATGAATTGTGGGAGTCCCAGAAGGAGAAGAGAGAGAAAGGGGCATAGAGAATATTTGAAGAAATAATGGCTGAAAACTTACCAAACTTGATGAAAGACTTAAACATTCAGGAATCTCATCAAACCCTGAGTAAGATGAACTCAAAGAGACCCACACCAAGACACATTATAATCAAACTTTCAAAAGACAGAATCTTGAAGGCAGCAAGAGACAAGTGAATCATCATATACAGGGGATCCTCAAAAAGATTTTCAGCAGATTTCTCTGAGGCCAGAAAATAGTAGGCTGATAGAGTGCTAAAAGAAAAAAAGAACTGTCAACCAAGAATCCTATATCTGGCAAAACTGTCTTTCAAAAGTGAGGGAGAAATGAAGACATTCTCAGATAAATAAAAGCTGAGGGAATTCATGACCACTAGACCTGACCTGAGAGAAATGCTCATGGGGGTCCTGCAAGGTGAAATAAAAGGACACTAGACAGTACCTCAAAGCTGTATGGAGAAATAAAGATCTTAATAAAGGTAAGTACATAGATAATTATAAAACCTAGTGTTATTGTAACAATGGTTTGTAACAGTACTTTTGTTTCGTTTCTACATGATTTAAGAGACTAATACATTTAAAGAAAAAAAACTGATAGTGTAAAAGCTAGTATTACTGTAACTTCGGCTTATAACTTCAAATCTTGTTTTCTACAAAATTTAGGAAACTGATGCATTTAAAAGAATTATTAGTTTACGTTTTGGGGCACACAGTGTATAAAGTAATTTTGTGACATCAGCAACTGAAAAGGGTGGGGACAGAGCTGTAAAGGAGCAGAGTTTTTGTATGTTATTGAAGTTAAGCTGGTGAAAATTCAAATTAGACTGTTACAGCTTTAGAACGTTACGTGTAATCCCCAGGGTAACCACAAAGAAAATAGCTATAGAATATACACAAAAGGAAATGAGAAAGGAATTTGAACATTACACTACAATAAATAAACTAGGGGCCGGCCCGGTGGCATAGAGGTTAAGTCTGCGTGCTCAGCTTCAGCCCACAGGTTTGGATCCCGGGCTCGGACTGACGCATCATTGTCAAGCCATGCTGTGGCGGTGTCCCATATAAAGTAGAGGAAGAGGGGCACAGATGTTAGCCCAGGGCCAATCTTCCTCAGCAAAAAGAAGAGGATTGGCAACGGATGTTAGTTCAGGGCTGATCTTCCTCACACAAAAAAATAAAATAGCATCAAAAACAAAATAAAATGCTTAGGAATTAACTTATTCAAGGAGATGAAAGACTTATACAATGAAAACTACAAAACATTGCTGAAAGAAATTAAAGAAGACATAAATAAATGGAAACACATCCCATGTTCATGGATTGGAAGACTTAATATTATTAAAATGTGAATACTACATTCACGTCCAGAAGGATCTAGACGATCTAAAAATCTCAATGACGTTTCTTTCAGAAATAGAAAAACCTGTCTTAAAATTCATATGGAATCTCAAGGCACCTAGGATACCCAAAACAATCTTGAAAAAGAAAAACAAAACTGGAGGACTCACACTTTCTATTATCAAAACCTCCTGCAAAGCTACAGTAATCAAAACAGTGTGGTAATGGCATAAAGACAGACATATAGACCAATGGAATAGAAAAGCCAGAAATAAACTCTCACATATATGGTCAAATGATTTTTGAGAAAGGTGCCAAGACTATTCAATGGGGAAAAGACAGTCTTTTCAGTAAATGGTGCTGGAAAAACTGGATATCCACATGCAAAAGAATGAAGTTGGACCCTCATCTAACACCGTATACAAAAATTAATTCAAAATGGATCTAGGACTTGAATGTTAAGACCTAAAACAAAACTCTTAAATCAGGGCAAAAGCTTCACAGCTTTGGATTTGGCGATGATTTCTTGGATATGACACCAAAGGCACAGGTAACAAAAGAAAAAATAGACAAATTGGATTTCGTGAAAATTCCTAAAATTTCGTGCATCAAAAGACACTACCCACAGAGTAAAATGGCAACCCACAGAATGGGAGAAATATTTGCAAATCATATATCTGATAAGAGATTAATAATCAGAATATACAGAGAAGTTCCAAAACTCAACAACAACAAAAAAACCCAATTTAAACATGGGCAAAGGACTTAAATAGACATTTCTCCAAAGAAGATAAAGGGATGTACATGGAAAGATGCTCTAAGTACATGAAAAGACACTCAACATCACGAATCATTAGAGAAGTGCAAATCAAAACTACAATGAGGTACCACTTCACATCCATTAGGATGGCTATAAAAAAAACAGAAAATAACAAGTATTGGTGAGGATGCAGAGAAATTAGAACCCTTGTGCACTGTTGGTGGGAAAGCAAAATGGTACAGCTGCTGTGGAAAACAGTATGGAGGTTCCTCAAAAGATTAAAAATAGAATTATCATATGATCCAGCAATTCCAGTTCTGGGTATATACTCAGAAGAATTGAAAACAGGGTCTTGAGGAGATAAATTTGTATACCCATGTTCATAGCAGCAGTATTCACAATAGCTAAAACATTGAAGCAACCCAAGTGGCCATTGATGGGGGAACGGATAAGCAAAATGTGGTGTATATACATATATATACACACACATAATGAAACATTATTCAGCCTTTAAAAGAAAAGAAATTCTGCAATATGCTACAATATAGATGAACCTTGAGGATATTATGTGAAGTGAAATAAGCCAGTCACAGAAAGACAAATACTGTATGATTCCACTTATATGTGATAATTAAAAGAGTAGTCAAGGGCCGGCCCCGTGGCTTAGCGGTTAAGTGCGCGCGCTCCGCTGCTGGCGGCCCGGGGTTCGGATCCCGGGCACGCACCGACGCACCGCTTCTCTGGCCATGCTGAGGCCGCGTCCCACATACAGCAACTAGAAGGATGTGCAGCTATGACATACAACTATCTACTGGGGCTTTGGGGGAAAAATAAATAAATAAAATTAAAAAAAAAAAAAAGAGTAGTCAAAATCATAGAGACAGAAAGTAGAATGGTGGTTGCCAGGGGCTAGGGGGATGGGGGAGTGGGAAATTATCGTTTAATGGGTATAGAGTTTGAGTTTTATAAGATGAAAATAGTCATGGGGGTGGATGGTGGTGGTGGTTGCACAACAGTGGGAGTGTATTTAATACCCCTGAACTGTACACTTAACAGTGGTAAGTTTTATATTATATTTATTTTATCACAGTAAAAAAAAGAAAGTAAAGCCTATTGCAAATGTCAGTATAAGCAAGTCAGGCCACAGACTGGGAGAAGGTATTTGCAGCCCATGAGTTGCAAAGGACCCAGTATCCAGTAATTCTACCTGTTTATGTCCACCACAGAGAAACTTTCAGACATGTACCCAAGGAGACCTCCATAGATAAAGCTCATTGCTGGGCTCTTTGTGCAAGCAAATAGTGGAGACAAACAATACCTCTCAGTAGGGACATGGGGAAATAAGCTGGAATTAACTTATTAAGTGGTGTCCTAAAAGGCGGTTTAAATGTGCGTACTAGTGAGTGTACATGGTTAGATTTAAAAAACAATGTTAACGTTTTTGTTTTTAATAAGCATGGTCTAAAATGATCTGTTCAGTGTGCATCTTAAATATTTACCCTTGCCTGATATCTTTTATATTCTGTAATTTTCTGTATATTTGAAATGTTTTATCATTAACTTTTAAAAGAAAAACAGGCAGGTGTGCTCTCTGGCTGTAGATTGTTCAGTGGTGCAGTTCTTGTGGGCAGGAGGGGCCACTGTGGACGGCAGGTAGATCAGGTCCGTAGTCAGTGCTCCTTAGTCACACAAAGCCAGTAACTGCTCAGGTAAGTCATTTTGGTGGGGGACACACGCACATGCTGGGAATTGTGAGTGTTCCTCTCGGAGGCTGAACAACTGTCAGGGCATTGGAGGGTCCCAGCTCTTGGAATGGAGACAAAACATCTGAAAAATGGCGGCATATTCCTCCCTGCCCTGAGTTCCTGCCTGAGAATCCACAGTGCCCCTGACACTTCATCCTGTGTCACTGGCGGGCAGAAAACTGGGAGTGCCAGGCACGTGTCAGGGTTAAAAGAGTTTTGCTTTCTAGCTTCAGACTATGATGTTGTCTGGCTATCTCAGGATGTGGTTCTTGTCCTGATTGCTATTAGGTTTGTATACTATGCAGCTAAATAGCTTCAAGCCTATTCCCTTTTCCAGGGAGACATTTACATGTTTATACCTTCTTTTCTTTCCCCTGCTGGGAGTAGTGTTCATAGGGAGATCTGTTTCTATGTAAGTGTAGTATCACTGATTACAAGGTGAAACCTACACTTGCCTTCTGCGGCAGACTAGGAAAAGTTCACAGAGCATCCTTGTTTCTTTCAGAACTCACAATACTTTATATGCACCAGAAATGCTAGCCAAAATGGCGGAGCCTTTCACAAAGGCTCTGGATATGCTTGAAGCGGAAAAATCTGCTATTTTAGGTAAGAAATCTAACCTTTTGTTTTCTTGAAGTTCACCTTATCTCTTGGGCTCCTCAAGCAGCTTCCCTGTGCCTTGTGTCACCTCCTTGTCCTCACCTTGACCACCTGTTTGTTCAGAAATATATGGAGTTCCTACACACTGTCTAGGAACAAGTGCGTTTACTTCGTTACCTTAGCGTACAGAGAAGGTCTTCAGAGGCAGTTTCTCCCCCTGCCCACATTAACCCCTCCAGGTAGTAGTGTGTTTGAGAGCCTTTAGATTATAAATAAACTATGGTTTTTTGGCCTGAAGAATATTAGCATACTTTCCTGTCTTTCATATATGAAAAAAAAAGTATGAAAACAATTAAGCTTAAATAGCTTTAATGAGTACAATATTATGTATATTATCAAAATTTTTAAAAGAATAGATTCTAAGCCAGGTTTCCCATTTGTTACCTTGATTAGAATGTTGCTTTAAGTCATATTTCCCATTAGCAAATAACTGTGCAATCATAATTGTGATATATGCTGTGAAGGAAAGTGGCTGTGAGTGTGGTTATTGGGAGACCTAACCCAGTCTTGGAGAGGAGTCAGAAGAGTGCCTCCCAGTGGAGACTTAGAGGATGAGTAGGAGCCTACCAGGGTGGGGGCAAGAGGAGATGCTGAGTATTCTGGGCAAACAGAATGGCAGGTACAAGATCCCGAGGCCTGCAGGAAAGAGCTTCATATGTCCAGGGAGTAGAGAGGGGTGACTCATGTGGCTGGAACACAGAGAGCAAGGCAGTGGTTAGAAGTTAGAGCTAGAGACGTCCAGAGTTGTCTCAACCTTATCCCAATCTTTGAAGCTTCATGCTGGCTCACCATCACAGCCCCCTCAGTATCTCTTCGTTCCAGCCATAACCTCTGCCTGGGCGTGGCCATGATTAAGCAATCCAGTGAGCATTCCTCAGCTGTGACATTAATGAAAGGAAGGGTGTTGGTTTGCCTCTCCAGAGCTCATGTCCTTCTGTCTTGGCCTGCACAGACCTGGGCCATTCCTTTGGCACCATTACACTTAAGGTCCATGTTGCAGACACCAGTAAAAGTAGAACTTCCAAGAAATGTCTTGCCATTAATATAAAAAGTAGGTGTTGCTTCATAATCCATTCCCCTCCCCCCTATTCAGTTATTCAAATTAAGCCAGGAACTCCCGCTATAGAAGTAAATGGTCAACCAAAACATACTAGAATGGACAAACAATTCCCTCTGGCAGCTTCCAGCCATGAGCAAGACTTGACTTGCTCTGATTAGAAGTATAGATCTTTTAAGGCAGTTGTTATACTGAGGTAAGTGGGTTTCATTTTGATCTACTACACATCTTGGGCTTTTACATAAAGTTTTGCTTGAAAAAGAGGTTCCACAACGTAAAAAGGGATGAGGGGCATCCGCTTGTTGTATGGAGAGATCATTTTGAGCTGTCATTGTGTGTTTTGGTACAAGTCCCATCAGGAGAAACCCAGGCAGAAGTTGGAGTGGCCAGGTCTACTCTGAAGTTCTGGGTACTTCAGTAGCCTTCACCTTTCCCTGCCAAGACAGTGCAGCGGTCACCTGTAGGGGAGCCCTTAGCACCTCCAACTGGCCAGCTGCTTTCATTTATAGTCCCCTCACCCCCCACCCCCAAACCACACCTGCCTGCTGCAGGGTGTTGGCAGGTGAGACTCTGGGCAGTGAAGCAGCATGTTCCTGACCTGTCTTTCTCTGTAGGATTACCTCAGCCTCTCCTGGAACTGAATGACTATCCTGTCTACAAAACAGTCTTGGAAAGAATGCAGCGTTTCTTCAGCACCCTCTATGAAAACTGGTAAGGAACCAGTGCTGCCTCTCCCTGTTCTCCTAGATATGCATTACATAGGAATGGCCATGAGTTGGACTTTCAATCTAGAATTCTAGTATACAGGTAAGATGAGGTAAGAATTTGACAGGAAACTAATGATTCTAGTGTCACATCAAAATGAACAGACTGCTTTCTTGCATTTGCTTTTTTATAATTGTCATAGGTGCGTCAGTCCTAGCCATGACTTGATATTTTATGCCCAACTTGTCTGTTATATTCTGTAATTTTCTGTATGTTTGAAATGTTTTACAATTAACTTTTAAAAGAAAAATAGGTAGGTGTGTTCTCCATTACGTAAAATGATGAGACCAAAATAGAAAATCTAGTGGTGGGAATGCATTTTCTAAGATCCCTCACTCCTTGTGGCTGCTTTTCATGGGACGCTGGAAGGTAGTTGGCCAGATTTTGTCTTTGGGTCCTGGGTGCAGGATGGGGAGGTAGCTGGCGCTCCTGTATTCCGCCACACCCAGGGCATTGGCCTCACTAACCCAGTGCTCCTCTAATGAGCCAAGCTAGTGAGAAATGCTCCATTGTAAATCCGCATTACTTATGAAGTTCCTGGGTACCAACTTCTGTCTTTAAAAAGATGCTGAGGGCCAGTGCCGTGGCTTAGCCATTGGGTGCGTGCGCTCCACTGCTGGCAGCCCGGGTTTGGAACCCCGGGCCGCACCGACGCACCACATCTCCAGCCATACTGGGGCCGCGTCCCACATACAGCAGCTGGAGGCATGTGCAACTGTGGCATGCAGCTGTTTACTGGGGCTTTGGGGAAAAAAAGGAGGAGGATTGGCAAGGGATGTTGGTTCAGAGCTGGTCTTCCTCAGCAAAAAAAAAAAAAAAAAAAGGAGGATTAGCATGGATGTTGGCTTGGGGCTGATCTTGCTCAAAAAAAAAAAAAGATGCTGAATCTGCTATCAAGAAGTGTCCTTAGGGGCCAGCCCGGTGGCGCAAGTGGTTAAGTGCACACACTCCACTGTGGCGGCCCGGGGTTCGCTGGTTCGGATCCCGGGTGCACACCGACGCACCGCTTGTCAAGCCATGCTGTGGCGGCATCCCATATAAAGTGGAGGAAGATGGGCATGGATGTTAGCCCAGGGCCAGTCTTCCTTAGCAAAAAGAGGAGGATTGGCAGATGTTAGCTCAGGACCGAGCTTCCTCACAAAAAAAAAAAAGAAGAAGTGTCCTTAAAAGTGGGGGGTGGGGGGAGGTGTTATTTTCACTTTTGATAAAAGATTAAGTCCACATCTTTGAAGTAGACTGATGAAGCTAAAGTTCTCTTAGGGAGTAAATACAATTGCTTTTCTAACTGAGAGGTCTTATCATAGACTAGAAATTCCCGGGGTAGCCAGGGTTGGCAATAACAGATGTTGGATTTGTCATTGCCCATGATTTTCCCTTACAGTTTTCATATCCTAGGGAAGGCAGGCCCTTCCATGCAGCAGGACTTCTACACCGTGGAACACCTTGCTACCCAGCTCCTCAGCTCGGCCTTCGTCAACTTGAACAATATTCCTGACTACCGACTCAGACCCATGCTTCATATCCTTTCAAAAGTCCCTAGATAACCCAAAGGGCCAGAAGATTGAAGACAGGAACAGTTCACAGGCACCAGAGGAGGCAGAGCTGAGCTGTGTGGAATAGATGGAATCATTTTTCTAAGTGTATAATAACCACATTACAAGGACAGGAAGATGGAAGTAAATAGCAGGAAAAACACGAAGGCAGTCCAGGGGGGTCCTGAAAAGCTCTTTCTCCTTAGGGGTAAATCTTTACCATCCCACTTCTTAGAAATAGGAAAGATGAAGCTTTTATCCCTTTTCTATGTTTTGTCAGGTGCTTCCTCTTTGAAAAGGCACTCATACTTCATTCTCATTTGGACTTTTTTTAAATGTTTTTATGAGTGTCTTTCTTCCCTGAAGTTATATTGTAAGGAGAATGGTAAAGGAGAGTTTACAATATTATAAGGGTGTCCCTCCTATTTTTTTCTTCCCTATTTTCAGGCAACCCAGTGCCCATAACGTGCAGCCTGGTAGAAAAGACAGTTCAACTAAAAATATAATAGAGTTGAGTATCCATGCAGCTTCAGATTTTCGGAAAAGAGGTTGAAGATTTTTGCCTTTTAACACAGGATGTTCTTGGTATCTTGCAAGTCCTTTGGGGGTTGACTCTGCCCAAGGGAGCAACCTGCTGCCTGGCAGGTTTCCAGCCTGGCAGGTGAGGGGTGCGTACTCTTGTGCTAAAACTTCTTAACGTGCTGTGGCATGGGTCTTTGTGAAGCCTCTGGTGCTCTTCTGTCCCCCGGAGCACTATGAAGCCCTGGTGTCTCCCATCCTTGGACCTCTCTTCACCTACCTCCACATGGTAAGAGATCGGTCAGAAAGGGCAGCAGATAGGACTTGGCAAAAGTCCTATCCACAGAGTAAAAAGGCAACCCACAGAATGGGAGAAATATTTGCAAATCATATATCTGATAAGGGATTAATATTCAGAATATATAGAGTGACTTCCAAAACTCAACAACAAAAATGATTCAAAAATGGGCAATGGACTTGAATAGACAGACATTCACAGAGGAAGGATGGCCTCTCATGAGTTTTGCAAGTCAGGAGCTCCTGAGAGTGTTGTCTCCTAGCCCTGCCAGGATGGCTGTGCAGCCACCCCCCCCCCCAGCAGACTATCCTTGCTGCAGTGGATTGAGCAGCCCCGCAAGAACCAAACTGGTTCAATTGCCCACACAGTGGTTCAATTGCATCTATAGGCTCAGATTCTGCTACTAGCCTCCCGTTAACTGAAGGGGAATCATGGGGGGGTACTCCCCCTGGGTCTGTTTCTCTGACTATGGAATTAAGCAGGGGGACCAGCTGGGTGGAGAACAGGTGTGTCCAGAGAGACCCAGAAATTCTAAAATGTTGTTGACCGTTTCCAAGCAAAGTAGTGTTTAATATGCTGCCCTCATCATGGGTGTGGGAGAGGTTACAGAAACCGTATCTGGTAGGGTCTCCCAAGGCTCTGTCATTGAAGTCTGGAATCATCATTGTCTAATTCTAACCATGAAATGGACCTTAGATGTTATCTGTTCCAACCTTCTCCCCAGTACTAGTGTTTATTTCCTTTTTGTTTTCTCAGAGGCTTTCCCAAAAATGGCAAGTCATCAACCAGAGGAGCCTGCTTTGGTAAGGAACATCTCTTCTTGCTGGATGAGCTGGCAGCCACTTTTGGGGTGGGAGATGGAAGAGGGTGGCAGGGGAGGATTCTGCCATCCAGGGCTCGAACAGCAGTAGGTTATAGTCATTCTCGGCCTAGACGGTAGATGGCTTGTCTATGACCGTTAGGCAGACTCAGATGAAGCGCTCATAGGGGCAATCTTCAGCTGCCTTAGGAAGATGGTGAGACATCCGTACCCACTTAGGATTTTGATCCAGTACCCTCTGTCCAAATGGATATAGTCATAAGTAATAATATCCCTCAGTGGATCATTACTATCCATTCCCAACATTTGCATAGAATGTAGGCCAGAAGGAAGCCAGGAGAAGGAGGTGGGCACAGAGGGTCTGGTTAGGGTCACTTTGCACTCCCATGCAACTGGGCCCCCTGGTTTTCTGCAGTGGAGAAGATGAGACTGCAGATGAAAATCCCGAGTCTCAAGAGATGCTGGAGGAACAACTGGTGAGGATGTTAACCCGAGAAGTCATGGACCTAATCAGTAAGTGGAATGTGGGAATCCAGGGTAGTAGAGAAGAATTTTTCTGGAAAAAGTACTGGTCACCCAGCCCCATTATAAGGCATGTTTGCAGCGATACTGACAGATTGATAAGAAATAATTAACTAGATAGAAACTAGGTAGTCCTTAAATCAACCAAGGGCATTTTATGAATTGTGAAGTGAATTGTAGTTGTTCATACTAAGGCCAGATTATGAGGAAATGTCTAAAATAGCAGAAGGAATTTGGATTAATGGTAGGAATAACTTCCTAGCTTTGTCTAAATAGGGAAAAATTTTAATTCTTGGAAATGAAGGTGGTTAATTTTCTTTTTTATGTTTTGGTCATTTCATTTGTTTGAGATCCACAGTAGACCAGGGATGTGTCAGGCATCCTCTCCTCGTCACTTACTCTCAGAGAATTCTGTAATCTTCCTCCAGTTAATTGAACTTGAAGAGGAACCAGAACACAGTCTGGTCGAATGCCTCTTTTTCCTCTGATGAAGCTGATTTTGTGCCTGGACAGTACCCCACCTCCCCCTCCTCACCTGCCCAGAGTCCGTTTGGGATCCATTGGCCTGAGGTGGCTGTTGTCTGGCCGTAGTAAGCCCAGTAACCCTGCTTTCTTGCTCTAGCGGTGTGCTGTGTTTCAAAGAAAGGTGCTGACCACGGTACTGCTCCCCCTGCAGATGGAGATGGTAAGTGAGCCTGTTGCATGGCCCTCGGAGGTCTGCCCTCAGGCTCCTAAATATTGTCCCTTCTGTAACTAGCTCAGTTCCCATAGAAACTGTTTCCCTTGAAGCCTGGTGTGGGTAAGATGTTGTGTATCTAGCTTTGATCTGTGCTGGCCCTCTTGCTGTATTCCTCCAGCATACTCCTACCTCAGGGCCTTTGCACTTGCTGTTTCCTCTGTCTAGAAAGATTTTTCTCCCAACTGTATATGTGCCTATCCCCTTGCTTCATTCAGGTTTCTGCTCAAATGTCACCTCCAAGAGGTCTTCCATGACCAACTTGTCAAAAACAGCAATCCCAGCCACTCTGCATTCTTCCTCTGCTCTAGTTTTCTTCATAGCACTTATCACTGCCTAGCATTGTTTTATTTATATATCCATTTATTACTTGTCTCCCTCACTAGAATGTAGACTCCAATCAGGGAAGGGACTTAGTCCTGTTCCTGTTATAACCTAGTAACTAAGTCAGTGCCTGCTGCCGCGGGTCCACAAATATTTGTTCAGCGACAAAAGATCCTCAGCATTTGCAGCTTTTTAAGTAACTGTCCAGAAAATCCCGTGTTCCCCACTGTTTGCCAGGTGTACAGCTAGATGCGTCTCTAGATCTGCCGTGGCCAGGGCACCCTGTTATGAGGCTGGGGGCTGTCCCAGTCCTGCTCAACCACCAGTCAGCCCAGGATACTCAACTGTCCTTTACTTTGGGCTTCTGTCAGAACAGGATATTCTTCTCTGTTCTGGAAGGATGGAGCTTAACATTCTGCTCTCTGCTTGCAGATGAAGAGATGATGGCCACAGAGGTGGCCCCCTCAGCCATGGCGGAGCTTACGGACCTGGGCAAATGTCTGATGAAGCATGAGGTGGGTGGAAAGCAGGTGATGTTTCCCTCCTTTCCTGGCCGGGGAGCCAGCTTCTGTTTTTCTCACTGTGATTCCGTCAGAAAAGTTTTTTGGGTAATACTCCTTTATATGAGTTAAGTTCCTGTTCCTAAAGCCCCCCGAAAATGGGGGAAAGCGCAAGGCCATGGGTCTCCCGTGCTGGCGTGGGCAAAGGCTCTCAGGAAAACACAGGCACACTGATGCCAGTTCCTGGAGTGCAGCCTCCCCTGGGCCTGAGCTCTCTCTCCTTCCTGCACACAGGTTTTCTCTTCTATGTTGGTTTTTTTTCCTTTTTTTTTTTTTTTTTTTTGGTGAGGAAGACTAGCCCTAAGCTAACATCTGTTGCCAATCCTCCTCGTTTTGCTGAGGAAGATTGGCCCTGGGCTAACATCCATGCCCATCTTCCTCTACTTTATATAGGACGCCGCCACAGCATGGCTCAATGAGCAGTGTGTCGGGTCCGCACCCGGGATCTGAACCTGCGAACCCTGGGCCACTGAAGTGTAGCACGTGAATTTAACCGCTATGCCACCAGGACGGCCTCTGATTTTTCTTTTTGACTGCCTGATATACGTAGAGAGAAGTAAACTCATTTCTCTTCAGTAGCTGCTGTTATCATTTTCCTGCTTACCTATTAAAACTCCAGCTCCTGATGCATAATACTCAGAAAACTGCGCTTGTTTTCTCATTATAATCCTTCATCCTCTTTCGTTAGGATGTTTGTACAGCGCTATTAATTACTGCCTTCAATTCCCTGGCCTGGAAGGATACTCTGTCCTGCCAGAGGACAACCACACAGCTCTGCTGGCCTCTCCTCAAACAAGTACGGTTATTCACCCCTTCTCACCCCTTTTGAAAAGTCTGGGTCATGAGGATTGACTGACTCAGTTGGGAGATTGGGGTGCTGGGCCGGCCCTTCAGAGTCCACTTTGGCCCTGAGCACAGCTGTCTCCCCAGGTGCTATCAGGGACGCTGCTGGCAGACGCCGTTACGTGGCTTTTCACCAGTGTGCTAAAGGGCTTACAGACACACGGGCAGCACGACGGCTGCATGGCTTCCCTGGTCCACCTGGCCTTCCAGATATATGAGGCGCTGGTGAGTGGAAAAGGCAAGGGGGCAGGGGGGCTGTGGCTTCACCGTCACAGCCTGCTCCCAGTCATTTGGGCCTTATCCTAAATGGAGGCAGCTGCGAAGTTGCTAGAGATGCCCCTGCGAGGTGGGTGTGGCAGGGATTGGCAAAGGTGGCAGGGCCCAAACCCACACCGTTGAGTGGGTGCATCCCCATTCTCAGCGCCCTAGGTACCTGGAGATAAGAGCTGTGATGGAACAGATTCCTGAAATACAGAAGGACTCTCTGGACCAGTTTGACTGCAAGCTTTTGAACCCCTCTCTGCAGAAGGTGGCTGACAAGCGTCGGAAGGACCAGTTCAAACGCCTCATTGCGGGTTGCATCGGGGTAGGTCATGCCCCTTCCTTAGTGCTCTCAGCCACCCCTGCAGTCTTCCTCGACCATGCGTACAGACAAACCAGAAAGCACCTATAGCCACTGGCCGTTACGGTGGGTAATGGTCTTTAAAACAACCCACTATTCAGGGCCCAGCATTAGTTCTCTCTCATTTGTTTTCCACAGAAACCCTTGGGAGAGCAGTTCCGAAAGGAAGTTCACATTAAGAATCTTCCCTCGCTTTTCAAAAAAACAAAGCCAATGCTGGAGACAGAGGTGCTGGACAACGAGGAGGGCAGCCTGGCCACCATCTTTGAACCCTGAATCAAGCTTTTGGGCATCCTTCCTCGGCCTTTATTGTCATCTCTTCCCCTTCGTAGCTAATGTCCAGGCCCCTCTCCACTGCCACCTCACTTTCCACCATTGTCAGCCTGGAGAAAGCTCCAGGTCTGGAGCTGGAGAGAGTGGGCCCTGTGCAGGGCCGGAAGTCATTATACTAAAGTATCAAGTATCAAGAAAGGGAGTCAGGGCTTACACCATTCTGTCTGCATCTCCCAGGTAGCTCCCATTCTACTTGGAGTTTTGGCTTTTCCAAGAGAGAAAAGCTAGAGCAGAGTGGCTCCTGCCCCCGTGCAACCATATGCCTGTGCAGTGGGAACAAGGGGCGCTGTCCCCGACACTGCGACTAGCCAGGCTTACGGCGAGGGCTCAGCCCTGAACTACTTGTGCCAGAGTTTCTCCTGGACCATTGCAGTCCCCCTGAGCCCCCTTGCTGCTGGGCTGGCAGGGAACCTTCCCATCCCCCAGGGACATGTCTGGGTCAGGTGCCTAATGCTGAAGTGAATTTGGCCAGTTCCCTCTCTTTGTTTTGAGCAAGAATCTGGCTACCTGATGGGATCCCACGGTACAGGCAACTGCTAAGCTCTGGACATGAGCAAGTGTAGCACCTTCAGGGACAGGCTGGGCCAGGGTCTGTAGTGCTCTCTAATGTCCCCCTTCCATGACCGACCCCTCAGTGTGGTTTCCTCAGCCCCAGGGTCCACTCAGGCACAAGAGCCACAGTACCCTATCTAGTGTCACATGATGCCACTGGCATCTAAGGATAATGCAGACCAGCTAGGCTACATCTGTGACAAGCAGCTAGCAAAGCCACCTGGTCTCTTCTCCTAGACTAGCTGAGTCCAGGTGCCTTCAAAAATCCCATGGTCTTTCAGGTCCCTGGTCACTTCTCTCATGGGCCATTTCCAAAAGAAAATATGCCTTCCCATCACAACCTGTGAGTCTCCATTCTAGAGGTCACTGGACAGCCCTGTAAGCAGAGGGGACATGGATGTGGAACCCTAGCCTTGAGATCGTTGCTGGCCATAGTCAGGCTTAATGCCTCCAGAAACCATATAGTATGTCTGAGTTCTGCACAAAAACAGGCCTATCACTGATCCAATCCGCTGACAAGAGGGTTTCAGTGAGGACTGAGTGGAGTGGCGTGGACCGAAGCTACAGCTGTGAGCTGGTGCGGGTTGGGTAGGGAAGAGGCGAAGCTGGGGAAACAGGACTTGGAGTCCCGTGTATCTGTTCTGCGGCACAGACTTGCCCCACACCCTTTTTCTGGGTGGTGCTCTGGGCTTCTTCCTGTCAACTGTGAAGGCTTTCTTAACGCATGTTTCCCTCCAGACTTGATGCTGCCTACTCCTCTGGTTGGGGCTGTGGAGGGCATAGTTGTATTTATTGTGTTGTAATATTTTTAACATCCTGTGACTTCATGCTAGAAGTTTTCTATTGTTTATAGAACCTTTTGTAGAAACATTAACTCTAAAGCACATCTGCATGTCAGTAAAAATCTCAATTTCCTACAGAAGGGCCCCAGCTGCCTCTTTCAAACCAGTGGCATACTCCAGGGTCAATGTTCCTTGTGAGCATCCTGCTAAGGGGACTGCGCAGGAAGAAGCGTGACTGATGGGCCTGCTCCGTCAAGTGTTCTGAAGTAGTATGCCAGCTAGAAAAAGGTTTCTATTCCTGACACCTAGACCAGGCAGCCCATACCGTTCTCACAGTGGTCACTGGTGGCCTCTGGACCTGACTGAGAGACTGTCCAAAGGGAACTGCTGTTCTTCCTCATGTGGCCCAATAGCAATGTGACTTGACTGCTATAAGCCACCTTTTTTCCAACAGGAACTTCCTCTGGTAATAATCCAGGAGACAGTGGATTACAGTGGCACACAATGTTTTTCTAGGGTCTGGCTGTGCCCCCCAGAAACCACCTCAATTTGGCATTTCTCATGAGGCGTCAGAGGGTCTTAGCCCTGACCCACAGTGACATTTGAGCCCAGTGTTCCAAATTGCTAAATAATACCAAGCCTGTTCTTAGGTGAGGCCCCATTTTTGGGGGCCAAAACTCAAGAAGTGGTCTCTGACAAAAGGCTTTTTGAATGTGAATTTATTTACATTAACACCTTACAAAGGCATAAAAGTCACGTTTTGTGGTACACTTAACAAAATGTATTGACTGAAAATAAAGCCGTAATTGTCCCAGAAAAACTGAGGACCCCTAGTCACACTGGGCTCTCTACAGCACTCCTGTGGGGGCAAGTTAGAATCCAGAATCTTGGGCTGGCCCCGTGGCTTAGCGGTTAAGTGCGCATGCTCCGCTATTGGCGGCCCTGGTTCGGATCCCGGGTGCACACCGACGCACTGCCTCTCCAGCCATGCTGAGGCTGCATCCCACATAGAGCAGCTAGAAGGATGTGGAACTATGACATACAACTATCTAGTGGGGCTTTGGGTGGGGGGGGGGGGAAGAGGACTGGCAATAGATGTTAGCTCAGAGCCGGTCTTCCTCAGCAAAAAGAGGAGGATTAGCATGGGTGTTAGTTCAGGGCTGATCTTCCTCACAAAAAAAAAAAAAAAAAATCCAGAATCTTCAGTTGGCCTCAGGAGCAAGCCTGCAAGCCCAGCCATGCCATAAGTCCAGTGTAAACTTCAGTCCATCTGAACCGCATCTAGTTCATCCAAGAACCGCCGGCACTTCCCCATCAGTACCTTGATGGCTTCACTCACCAGCACATCTGGTGGCAACACCCCTGTTGACTCGACAGAGACTGGGGACCAAAGAGACACTTTAGCCCAGGCAGGGCCTGCAAAAGCTCCTGTGTAAGTTATTGCCCGATTCCACGTCTGGACTCTGCAAGGAAGCTGCAGTACCGAAGACCTGCCCCCCGCCCCCCAGCTTGATACTCACAGATATAATGGTCCCGGACCCGAGCCAGCCGTACAACCTTCTTGAACTTCTCATGCCGGAAGACTTCCCTGCTAAAGGTATCTAGCCGGGGATTGGCAACTCTGGCCACCTTTTTACCTAATGAAAACAAACTATGTTATAAATACGTGAGCCCAGAGCTTTTATTTCTCTGTGCTACCTTCAAAAAATACATACTTGAGGTCCTGACCTGAACGGCATCCCAAAAACCATACCTTGGACTTCCTGCAGCTCAATAACACCAGGTGAAAAGCAACGGCTCAGCTCCTCAGCTGCGTCCCCTTCCACCGGCTCAAGCAGGGCGATATCTGGCAGGAGCCTGTAACTGGCTGTTGCCACAGGTGAAAACTTGGCATGATCTTTGCCTGGAGGGAAGAGAGAAATCAGAGCCTGTAAGAAACCCTTCTTCACGTTCCCTAAGCCACTAACAGCAAAGGCCCACTGGCTTTCTGCCTGTCAGGGACACCTCAGCAGAGTACCTCAGTCACACGTGGCCCCACTGTAACTGAACTGCCCTCCTGCCCAGGGCAGCCCATACAGTTCTTACCAATGCCTTTGACACAGTGCATGAGCAAGTCAATCTCCTGGCCAGGCCGCAGCTGAGCAATGAGGATATCATCATGCACTGGTCGGATAGTGCCCTCCGGGAAGAGGTCAGCCTGGTTTCCCAGGGGCACCCATGTCATGTGCCTGGTGTACACTGGGGGGAGAAGCACATCAGAAGACCTCAGTCCCTAAAACTAGCACCCACCAACAGGTGGGCCTTCTCCCTCTCCCTACCACTCCTCACCTTTGTGGTTCACATAGAGTTCATTGGGGTCAGAGGAATCTTTAGCAGCATGGGGGTTCCGAGTACACCTGACTTGCAGCCGAAACTGCAGAGTATCTATCTCTGTGCCTTCTTCATCTCCTGCAGAAAGGGGGGAGGTGGCAGCTCTTAAAGAACTAGTCAACGTTTGAGTGCTAGACACCATACTGAGTGTGTTGTTTACATTTCTCATTTAATCCTCTTGACAAACTGAGGAAGGCAAGGGCAAGTGTTCTCAGAGGTAACAACTGATGTACCAAAAGATGAGTAACTTGCCCAAGGTCATGCAGTAGTCAATCCAGGATTTGAACACAGGCAGTCTGATTCCAGAATCTACTTCACAGGCAAGCTGCTTGCCTTTTCCCAAAATTTCACTTTCTCAAACACTCACCTTGGTTCCGATATTCAAAAAGACGGGGATCAGCATGAATGGGAATGAGCCCCAAGCGATGAGCGAGGATCTCATCCTGGACAATGGACGTGTTGTTGTACACCAGGACCTTTTCCACAGCCATGGTTGGTACCTGCCCAAGAAATAAGAATCATCTACAAAGATCTCATAGACTCCCCATGTACTCCCCGCCTCCTGACATAGGGAGATGGGAGAGACCTCTTCCTAGAAGAATGCTTGATAAAAAGTTTTCAAAGAATGAGGAGGAATGCTCAGCAATATTACAGGAAAAATAAAGAGGAGGGGTGGCTTGAGATAATTCTCCAAGCGAGGCCATGGCACTGTTTCCCCTCACAAGTCCACCCTTGCCACCATGCCCACCGATACCTCGGCTAGCAGAATGCGTCGAAAAGCATTGGCTATGGCTGCGTCGATTCCCACCATGTCAAACTCCAATGAGTTTTCATCCATGTGTACCACATCCACACGGAAATTCTAAAAGGACAGGAAAAGCACTAAATGAAGTCTGTTCTCTATAGAACAGGGTACCTACCCTCTGGACCTTCCTCTCAACGTTTTAACATTCTCTCTCATCCAAAAACCTCCCTTGGCCCAGATGTCCCTCATTAGATGTTCCTTTCTCCTCCAATCCTTTATTAGTTTCTTGAAAAGTCTTCCTGTTTTTACCTTTCATTCATTTAAAACCCTCTGCCATATGGCTTCCAGCCAGTCCATCCACGGAGGCTATTCTACTAAAGAACAGGCTTCCATGTGACACTACTTAACCCTTATCTTACTAGACTCCTCTGCTGCATTTGGCATTGTTGCTAGAATCTCCCTATTTTCAAACTACTGCCTTGATTTCTGAGCACCAGTCTTCTGGTTCTCTTCCTTCTTTTTCCGATGAATCCTAAATTCACTATCTTCCACCCACCCCATAAATGTTACTATTTCCCAGGTTTTTGTCTCTCTCCAGAGTGACCTGACCACACTCATGGTTTTAGCAACTATCTGTACTAACAACTCCTCACATTATATCTCACTTCTGATCTCATTTCAAACATATATTCTACTAGCCTGCTAGACTTCTCCACATGCAGGAAACGGAACGCATCATCATTCCCCTCCCCCAGACCCATTTCTCATCAGTAAAGGACACCACCATCCATCAAA